ATAATTACAAATAAAGTTCTGTGGCATGTAGTGGAATAGTTTTCATATCAAATATCGTGAAACTCCGATAGCTGGTCCGAATGTTATTAAGAGGGGGCTAACACGCGGAATGATACCATAAACCTGTCTCTCCATATTAGGCGCGAAGGCAATGCCATTCTTATGATTCAGTGCCGCCCCGTGCACAGGCAGTGAACGTCGATGGAGGTCCTCATATATTCCAAAGCCTCGGAGGGAAACAACGCATTTTGGGAGTTCTTTAGGCGTGTGACTTACAAGTAGCTCCAAACAACTTGCTCCTCGACTGAAGAAGAGACTAATGCAAACCGAAAGCTTGTTATTGTCGTCACACATTACTCACTGTTCTTATCCAATGTACGTTTAACACAGACCACATATTTCAGTCTGTTTCTCTAAGAAGTATTTAGCATTGTCCTCATACCTTCCCTTACATTTTCCAAATGGTCTTACCTCGAGGATCCATAAATAAAAATGTTATATGCATTTTTACTACACGTCTCTCATGTTACAATTCACTTGGTTTAATCAATATAACAATAAGATAACAGAAACACGAAAGATTGATCTTCTCGTCGCATAATTATTATATTACTGAGCAAAGTAGTGAGAAATTAGCTCATAATTTTATATGTTCATATATTCACGCCTGTTTGTGGTTTACATAGCGTGCTGTCAACAGCTCAGATTATACAGCGTTGGATGATTAATGGATAATTAATTGGGACAGATATGAAAGTGTGAGATATTTACCTATTTAATGTGAGATAAGCGTTGAAGTTTTGTAATTATGAGTTTATTATCTGTGCGAGTGTCTTCGTAGAAACGGGAAAACTAAAATGACAGATAATAGACCTAGTAAGGTATTCTAAAATGTCTTGCTGCGTTTATATTATTAATTTAAATGTTGCTGTTTCGTGGCCTTCTTAACCACCTTTATCGACTCCTCTAAGTTGAATATGAAATTTTGTGTATTTTGTAATCTATGCTATAACAAATTAATCCCTAGTGAAGAAAACAGCTTCTTTGAAACGAAGAGACGATAAAATTGAATTGCGATGGCGTGGTGTAACGTAAGAAATTTTTGTGTTGTTTTTAAAGATTGAAGAAAGAAGTATTTTGGAGAGATTTCAGGTTCTCACGAACATGAAGCTCTAATGATGGAGTCAGTAAACTCCTCTGAAACGTCTGTTAATATTTACCACGGCGCAACATCACAGAAGAATATTTCGGAATTTCTGCATTACAAAATACTACACAGGAATTATTTCCCTTCTGTTGCTCATCACCCTTTTCTTTTGAGAACTCTGAAATTGACCCCATAAAATTCAGCTCCCAGGGACTCGCACGCACGCGCACACACACACAACTTAATCAAGGTTATTGTGGCTGTCATTGTTGTGAGGTGCGAGAATGACCGACCTATGTGTCAAATGTAGCTTTATGCTGAAGATTTCTGTCTTCTGGGTTGTTGCGCTGTGTAGTCTGGTAGATGTTAACCAACGTTTCAGAGGTCATACTGCCTCCATCATCAGGGCGATAAGTATGAAGATTTCTGTCTTCTGGGTTGTTGCGCTGTGTAGTCTGGTCGATGTTTACCAACGTTTCAGAGGTCATACTGGCTCCATAATCAAGGCGATGAGTATGAAGATTTCTGTCTTCTGGGTTGTTGCGCTGTGTAGTCTGGTCGATGTTAACCAACGTTTCAGAGGTCATACTGCCTCCATAATCAAGGCGATGAGTATGAAGATTTCTGTCTTCTGGGTTGTTGCGCTGTGTAGTCTGGTCGATGTTTACCAACGTTTCAGAGGTCATACTGCCTCCATCATCAGAGTATGAAGATTTCTGTCTTTTGGGTTGTTGCGCTGTGTAGTCTGGTCGATGTTAACCAACGTTTCAGAGGTCATACTGCCTCCGTCATCAGGGCGATTCATCGCAACAACCCAGAAGACAGAAATCTTCATACTCACAGCTGTGAAAACCTCAAATCTTAAATAGTTTCATACTCTTACCTGGTCTCAATTTTGCTCGCTCTGTGAAAGTATCGTCCATAAATTTGTGCAATGCATCTTCGTTTGCAAAAACTTATTTATGCGTTTCTACGTTATAACAAGGAACGTCATCATTCTTCCGAATCGACGCTATTTGATTCAGTTGGGAAATTTCAGGTTCTCAAGGCTGCGCTTATGAAGACAGCTGTATTTTGGGATATTTCGCCGTGTAGTCTAATAGATATTGACAGACGTTTCATGGGTCCTTGCTGCCTCCATCATCAAAATGGTTCAGTATTCTGGAAGACAGTCATATTTTAACTGGGAAAGTTTTCTTAAATGAAATCTAATGACGTCCATTAACCGGCGCTAAATAACGCCACTGTCTGCTCCAGTGCTGCGAAGTAATTTACATTCTTTTATCCCTTTCTCATTGTATCGCTTTATTAACCCTTCAAAGCTGAAGCTCATCTAAATAGCATTTTAAACATACAATTCGTACCGCAAAGAAAACGCAACGCATTTCCATTACAAAGATCACATGGTTAACGCTGCTTAAGGAAATAATCGCAGATTATTCCCAGAATCTTATGAAACGTGTAAATAGAAAAAGCCGAGTTACCGAATTTAATGCATATAGATACCACTTGGCTTTAAATGGTTTATTTTAAATTCAGCATACCTATATCTTAGGACAGCGTTAATGCTTCTGAGAGATACTCGGCTCAAGCCTGCCCGTAATTTTATATAATTTTTTTGAAGTCTTCATTTCTTTTAAGCGGTCTTGTGTTTATTTTTTAGCCTTAAATAATATGGAAGGAAAGATATTTGTATTTGACTTCTAAACTCTACTTTACATAAAGTTTTAATTGGTCATTATTTCGCTTAAAAATGGTGGATATAAAATCTATTCTTTTATTTGTGACTCTCCACTGTTTCTCTATATTTAGTTATTTTGCCAAAGAATGTAAATTCTTGTGTTAAACTGTTACAATATAACGTCGTTCGAAGACATAAACACAAGACTTCTTTTCGAGACAGAATTCTTTGCGCAGAATAGGCCATAAATGTCACCTCAAAGGATTGCCGCATCGAACTCAATCTTGTGTCACTCTTGCTCTCTGTATAAGTGTCATTATTGTCTTGTTCCTTCCGAACGTAAAGAAAGAACGGTCTTGGAAGATTTCGCCTTAATGGGTTTCTTGGATAAATGAAAAATCCCCGCAAAACATAAAAAGACTCGCTGGTTCAACACAGAATAAAAACAAGGACAACACACATGAAGGATGCGTCATGTCGGGTTTCTCAACATGGATGTAGACCTAAAAGAAGTAAACATAAAAAGTTTGCAAGTTTGCGCGAAGAATTTCGACAGAGTAGAAACAAAAAAAAAAAAAATGTTTGATGAAATCGGTACAAGGTAAAGTTTTATTTTATTTACGAATTTCTTGTCTTTGGAACCTTGCGGTTAGAGTTAAGACCATGATCGGAAGCCACTTTAGTCCACTTCACATTTTTTCTTACCTGTTTATTTTCTTAAGTTTTTAATTTTAATCTTTTATTAAATTCTTATTTCCTCTCTTCAAATTGGTCGTCCTTGGAGAGATCTTGCCACTAAAATCCCGTACGCACTTCTTGTTTCCCCAGTCTAGTTACATGCAGAGGTCATTAGACAAAGCAACACGCTTCGCCTTCAAAATTTTCCTGCTTTTTAAGCTGAAGTTTTAAAGCCAAGACTTGCTTCGCCTGGTAGCCTGCAGCCGTCTATGTTTGGCTAACATAACATTAAATGAGCTTTATAAAAATTCATTATCGTGTATAGAATATCCTTCCATCCTCACCTATCAGTAGCCTACAATTCACGAACTTTTCATTAATTTTAGTAATTGCAGATTAAGTTTTGAATAATAATGGAACATGGTCTTGTCTGGTGAGTGGGCAACGTCTCTCAAAAAAGTTGATCACCCACGCCTTCAAAGTAAACACTCACTATTCTTGAAAAGTACACAGTTCTCACAGAATGCGACCGTTGTGTCAGCAGATAAGAGGAAATGACAGATTTTGGCCATGGAAGACAAGTGCTTGCTTTACCACATGGCAAACACAGCGGTAATGTTCCCGACTTGTATCCATCTCGAATCTTGGCCTGAACTAACTAATTAACTCTTGGAGGAGTCTCTCAACTATACAAAATTTCAAGCCTGTTATTGAAACCGAAGTTTCATCATCATGTTTCCTTTCATTTTAATCATGTTATATTTGTAATTTTTACGGTGCAATTTATAACTAATACAGCAGTTTAGAAGATGAAGTTCCAGGAATTAAAACGAGAAACGAGAAGCTGAGAATAGGGAAAACTGGAGAGCTTTTTTTGGGCAGAGCAATGGACCTGTCGTAAGACAGAACACTGAATAATAATAATAATAATACAGCAGTTTCTTCCCAATGCTACCAACAAACATGCCTTCATAATTTCTCTAATAGAAATACGCGGGAACTCGATTTTACGTTCCGGCCGCTTTATTCCTTAGTACCTATTGTGTAGGAAGCTGCGTGGATCCATACCCGAACTTGTCGCTGAATACATTTACTATTGTTTTCATTTATGTTTTACATAGTTAGTCCCTGTCTGCGGAAATCGATTGGGCTGAACCGAGATATGATCGATTTTTTAATTTTTCTATATTCAGAACTTTGAGATAGAAAATTTGACAATTTTGTAGTGGTGAATATTTATATTTTGAAATGATTCGGATTTTACGTGAGAATTAAGACATATCCCAGTTTCCGAAACATCGTCTTTTAATTAAATTAAGACCTTGGTTAATGTCGAAGAAGTTTGTTATATTGATAACACACCATCGTCACATACCTTTAGATTTAATTAGTTATTAAGTTACTTAAGACACTCGGTTGACCATCCTAAATTATGCAGCAAGTCATCGCTCATGCTCCAAGACTCCCAGCACACGTGGTTGTTTTCTGTTACAGATGGAGACGTTTCCCGCAGTCTCAGCTCTTGTCATGTTCTCGATTTGTGATGCTGTTTGCCTTGCCTCTGATCTTCACCTGCGTTCTGCACACAGCTAGCGCTCGTGAGTATCCGCTTCTTCATTAAACTATGCAATCATTATCGAGCCTCGAGCGATATGCCACAGATACCCAGAGGTCGGGGTCACCACTCATTGTGGTGTGGTGCAGGTAAGGTCAGTGCCTCGGCTGCAAGGACACTGTTCTTTCTGTTCATTGTTAATTTATTTAACAACACTTTATCGTTTATAAATGTATGTGTGAAACTTGTTCTTTGTGAAGGACATAGTGAGGATGTTTGAGAACAAAGCACAGACGAAAGAATGCTTAGACCTAAGAACAAGGAAGTGTCAAACAACGAAAAACATTACATAATGAGGATCTTTATGATTTGTACACCATCTAATATACTTAAAGTTATAGACATGAGGAGTGTGACGGGCGGGGTATGTAGCACGCATGGAGGAAATGAGGATTCACTATGCAGTTTTGGTCTGAAACCTCAAGGGAGACATTTTTTTTACATAAACAGGATGTGAAGTTGTATATTGTATTTAGCTTTCTGAGGTTAGGTTCAAATATCGGACTTCCGTGAATACTGTTTCCTAACAACTTAATATTTCTCTGATTATTGTGTTGATGTAATGTAAATTACAGGGTGTGTGGGAAGTAAGTAGGCATTCCCACTTAAAAAGGTACAAATAAAAATTATTTTCATTATTTCTTATTGGAAATATAGAGGTTACAACCATTTTTGAATGCCTACTTACTTCCAACCCACCCTCTACATAGAGAACTGTACGAATTTGAGTGACATTGCAGACAACACTTAGAGGTCATGGATATGTCAAGGTCATGTATAGGTTGCAATATATACTCAGTGCCTACATTGTGTTGGGTTATATTACGTTAGATTGGGATGCGTTAGGTTAGGTTGGGTGAGGTTAGGTTGGGTGAGGTTAGGTTATGTTAAGATTTAGGTTAGGGTTAGGTTAGGTAGGTTACGTTAGGTTCGGTTAGGTTAATTTAGGTTAGGTTAAGTTAAGTTAGGTTAGGTTAGGTAAGGGTAGGTAGGGTTATGTTACTGTATGTTACGGTGCTTTCGGTTAAGTTGGATTAGATTAGATAAGTTTAGTTTACATCAGGTCAGATCAGTGTGTTCGTTTAGATTAGATTATGTGCCAGAGAGAGGTCTTGAAAATTCTCAAGGTCATACATTTTGACGCTTATTTCTGCCAAACCTTAAATACCTGGTTGACCACACTCATGTCAAAATGATACCATGTATAGTTCAAGGTGATATGGAA